AATAGCATCCACCTAGATTCAGCTTTGAAAAATACAAATCTACTACTATTACTATTGCACATTCTAGATGACACAACATTTCTATTAGATTTTATTAGTCATATTTTGTGGGTGAGAAAAGATAGAAAAGGACAAAAAAAAAAGCTCTATTGCTTAAAATTGCCCTTATAATCTGTTTCATATAATAGCTACTAGACAAGTATCGTAGCTACATTTATCTAAAATTAAATGTAGATTAATTAGAATTAAAGAAAATTAACAATTCAGATTAAATGGCTAGGGGCTGCAATATTGGACAGCATATATAGCACAGAACCATCATCACAGAAACTTCTCCTGGACAGTGTTCTCCTAGAATAAATAATATAAAGATTCATTTATAAATTTATTTTTAGTTTTTTAATCCTCACCCAAGGATGTTTTTTCATGAATTTGAGAGAGAGAGAGAGAGAGAGAAGCATTAATCAGTTTCCTCCCTCATGCGCCCCAAATGGGGATTGAACTCACAACCTAGGTGTGTGCCCTGACCAGGAATCAAACCCACAACTTTTTGGTGCATGGGACAATGCTCCAACCAACTGAGCCACCTGGCCAGGGCAGAGGACTTCTTTATAATTGTCTCACAAATATTGATTCTATAAATGCTTACCACGGACCAGAACTTATGCTAGAGACATAAATGAGAGGTATATTTCCTATCCTAATGGTGCTTAGGGGTAAAGCACATGCACTCAATAAACACAGGTCTATGGTTCCTAGATCAGAGGTTCTCACCCTTGGATAGCTATCCATATCAACCAAGATCTCGCCAGAGGAGGGTTTAATTCAGTTGATCTGGAGCAGAGGTTGAGAGTCTGCATTTCTAGTAAACTTCTAGGAGATGCTAAGGACACAGATGCTGTGACCAAATCAGTGTTGAGAGATATCATCAGATTTAGAGATGATGGACTGTTTCCTCACCCCATCTACAGCAAACATTATTTTTTTCTCTATTGGTAGGGCTGGAGACTCTGGTACTGACCTATGTCGATGCCATCAGTAGTGGGGACATGCCCTGCATGGAGAATGCAGTCCTGGCCTTGGCCCAGATAGAGAACTCGGCTGCAGTGCAAAAGGCCATTGCCCACTATGACCAGCAGATGGCCGAGAAGGTTCAACTGCCCACAGAAACCCTCCAAGAGCTCCTGGACCTGCACATGGCCAGTGAGAAAGAGGCCATTGAAGTCTTCATGAAGAATTCCTTCAAGGATGTAGACCATTTATTTCAAAAGGAATTAGGGGTAATTTTTCTCTTATGTGTATATGGATTAGGGTCTCAGAAAGCAAAGTACTGCTAGGAAATATAATGGGTATTTATCAGGAGAGAAGGAATTCTTACTAGACTTCAAAATGACAAAAACCACTATTTTTTTATTATTATAATAAGAAGAACCAATTTTGTTTTGATTGGCTTAAAGTTTTGAACATTTTTTATTCTTCCATGCATAAACTAATCCTCTTTCTCATAATTTAGTTAAATGCAAGCAGGTAATCATCGGAGCTTTTCATCAAGTTACATGCTTAATGTTACCAGAGGTTTTAATATTACAGCCAAAAACAAAGAAAGGTGTAGTCTTAGTTATCTTGAGCAGGCTTATATTGAACCACATTTCTTCCATATACAATCGCTGGTCCGATTTGAAAAGCAGAAGTTTCTTTCTAAAGGTGTATTCGTAAGACTAGAGAACCTAGTCCTGACCTATGTCAATGCCATCAGCTGTAGGGTCCTGCCCTGCATGGAGAATGCAGTCCTGGCCTCGGCCCAGATAGAGAACTCGGCTGCAGTGCAAAAGGCCATGGCCCACTCTGATGGGCATATAGGTAGCATCAATGCTAACATAAACCAGCAATCTCTGCCATGAACTTCACCTCCAAGGAGAAAGGGGCTTCAATAGAAAGACAGGATCAGGAGGAAGGATGTGGTACTGCTGAGGTGCCTGTAAGTTTTTACAGGGTCACAGACTGGTTTTTGAGAAGCCTTTCCAAAATGTGCTCCCCTCAACCCCACACTTCCCTTCCTCCCAGTCTCCCTCCACCTCCTTTCCTTGGATCTGCTCTCTCCATGATGGCTTCATTCCTCACACCTATGGGACCACAGCACCAACAGCTCCAAAAGTAGAGCACTCACCAGAGAACAGACTCTCAATCTATATTTATATCAATCACTTACAAAGGTTTCTGCTTCATAGGGTGCCAGGCTTGGTCGACCTGCAGCAAGTGCCCACCCTGTGACAGGGACCCCTTGACCAGCACAAGGACCAGGGCCAAGCAAACAATTCCTACAGGAAAAGATGGGGGAGAGGGCAGTCAAATAGGAAGAAGTGCTTCCTGAGATTTCCTATTACTAATGCCATTTTCTCTGGGTCCTAGAGTGCAGAAGTTCTTCACGCATACCTGAGCTCCAAGGAGTCTGTGATTGATGCAATTCTACAGACAGACCAGACTCTCACAGAAAAGGAAAAGGAGATCGAAGGTGAGGAGCAAGTCAAGATCCTTAATAGCTTTTGAAAGTTTAAATAATTTTTCTTGGAGAACCTGGGGTCCTTAAATAAGAGCCAGATGAGCAAAGATGACTATTACTGGCCAAAGTCAGTCTCAGTGGGGCAAATGCAGTCAGCAGCAACAATGACAGGTAAGTTCACCAAGAGGAAAAAGCAAAGTGGTCACACTCATGAATTTGTTTTCTTCCTTTCCTCCTGGCAGTGCAACGTGTGAAAGCTGAATCTGCAGAGGCTGCAGCAAAAATGCTGGAGGAAATGCAAAAGAAGAATCAGCAGATGATGGAGGAGAAAGAAAGGAGTTACCAGGAACATGTGAAACAATTGACTGAGAAGATGGAGCAGGAGAGGGCCCAATTAATGGCAGAACAAGAGAGGGTTCTGGCTCTTAAACTTCAGGTATGTAATGGCATCACCTTGATGTTTGTCTTTTTCAGTTTTCTGAACACTCTCCCTGACCTGTTTGTGTGGCTGTTAGAACTCGAAACCCAGAAGGACCTTGCTTGCTCACTTACATCTTTCAATCCCTGTCTGTCTGCCTGACTTGGAGCCTGCCTATGACTGGTTATTAAAAAAAAAAATTATTTTCCTTTATCTCACATCCAGTTCGTTAGTACATTCTTCAAGCAATGGTAGCTATTATCTTCCAGGCATTGTAAATATGTCTTATCTGTATCTCTTGCTTAATATTATATGAAGCAAGAACTGTTGTGTACCTATACCTTAGGAGAAGAAACAGAGGTTCAGAAAAGATGAGCTTTCATAGGGTCACACAGATCAGTAAGATATGTGAACCACCTTCAAACTTAGAGGAATCTACAGTCACTGTTTTTCTGTCACACCTGGTGTGACTTTGGTTCTAAAGAGAACCTTTATGAGCAGAAAGACTCCTTGCCTCTCACACCTGTGTCCTCCACTCCTGACTGCTATGCGCTACATCTAGTTTGTGTAGTGAGTTATGCGCAGAAATCCTGTGTGGACAGTTAGGGGCCTTGATGTCCTCACTTATACCCTGCTACTCTTGCCACCAAGCTGTGGAAGCTTAAATCAAATTCCCTGATCTAATATTCAGACACTTCCTTTGATTTTGAGTATATTTTATTTCTGTCATGTGTATGTATATAAAAGTCTGAGTGTGTGTGTGTGTGTGTGTGTGTGTGTGTGTGTGTGTGTGTGAGAGTCTATAAAATTTGAAAAGAAACATTTGATTAAGATTGCCCACATATGTTGTATAGGATTAATGGGACTTATAATTTAATTTTATCACTATATTAGAAGGTATAAGCCAAAATCACTCTTAGCTAAAGGAAGCTCAAGAAAAGCAATCATGCAGCTAGGATGTCCAAGAGAAAGTATAATGAATATTTATGGTAGAGAAAATTTCAAGAAGAAATTAAATACTAAGAATGTGGAAACTATCTAGAAGTTGAGATTTGCTTACTGCTGTACTTGATTTATTCTTTATTTGTCCCTTTTTAGGAACAGGCCAAGTTACTAAAGGAAGGATTCCAAAATGAGAGCAGACAACTTCAGAAAGAAATAGAGAATCTCAAGAATAACATGAAAAATAGCAGCGGCGGTGGTTGTATCTTAATCTAAAGACCTAAGGGAAAGCTTCTCTGGTCACTCTACCCAAGGCATAACTCAAGCAGTTTTAGAATCTGGAAAAATGTCACAACTTGAGAAAAAGTGACCTTCTTTAAGCTGATAAAAGTAATCTACAAAAAGCCCTTCACCTAACATACTTAATGATAAAAAATGGAATGCTTTGCCCCTAACACAGGAATAAAGCAAAGATGTGAAGTCTCCCCACTCCTGTTAAACAGTATAATGAAAGGCTTCCTACAATATCAAAAAGGAAGGAAGGAAGGAAGGAAGGAAGGAAGGAAGGAAGGAAGGAAGGAAGGAAGGAAGAGTGATCAGAAAGGATAAAATAAAACTGCCTATATTCTCACACACTTTGATTATTCACATAGAAAAATCCCAGAGAATCTGCAACAAAAGCAAAAAACAGCAACAACAATGACTCTTGGGACAACTTTGTAAGTTTAAAAAGGTTGTAAGATTCAAGGTCAATACACAAATATCCACTTTCAACTGTATTTTATATAAAAGCAATGGACTATTAAAAACCAAAAATTAAAAAACAATGTCACTTACAATAGCTGTTTCTGAAATATGGAATACTTAGGTAGAAATATAACTAAAAACGCACATGATCTTCTATGTTGAAAAACATTCTAAGACCAAGAGATTATGGGATCGATCATGATGTATGAATTTCCTTAAATTCCAACTCCCTTGTTGTTTTTATGATGTTCCTTTTACTCATTGTAGAGAAGATTCAAGGCCCTTATTTTTAGAGTTATCTCTGACAAAAGCACATGCCTAGTATTTGTTAAGTTTCGCTGAGCACTAAAAATATGTCAACTGCGGGGGGCAGGTGGGTATGGGAGGGTCAATGGGGAAAATGGGTGATAGCTGTAATACTATCAACAATAAAGATAAATTAAATATGTCTATCCATTGTGTGTTAGGCTTTTATCCAAACAGAAAGAGGAAAAAATATGGCTCAGAACTCAGTGCCACATAATATGCCTACTACTACTACTACTCCTCACACACACACACACACACACACACACACACACATACATCCTACCCTACCCACTCACTGTGAGTTCTTTGACAGCAGGATTTCATAGAACACAAGACAGGAAAACTTACTCAGAGTTTTTTCCCCAAAAACTATGTTCAAATCAGGGTCCCTAGGGAGTTAGATGAGGCTTCATGAAAAGCAGCCATTGCTTGGTCTACAGGGATCACTCATTCAAGAAACATTGGTTGAGTACCTATCACATTCTGCCAAGGAGTGGGAATATAGTTATAGTCCCTCTCTTAAGGAGCTCATAGTCTAGTGGTGAAGACAGAGATTAAATAATACAGAAAACTAAATGTCCAAGAAATTGAAAGGAGAGGATTTCTTATTTAGAAAAGGGTTGATCTAATCCCTCTACCCAGTGATGGCGAACCTTTTGAGCTCGGCATGTCAGCATTTTGAAAAACACTAACTTCACTCTGGTGCCATGTCACATATAGAAATTTTTTGATATTTGCAACCATACTAAAACAAAGATTTATATTTTTGATATTTATTTTATATATTTAAATGCCATTTAACAAAGAAAAATCAACCAAAAAAATGAGTTCACGTGTCACCTCTGACACGCGTGTCATAGCTTTGCCATCACTGCTCTACCCCAACATATTTGAAATGGCTCCTTAGTATGTCTTAACCATAGTTCTCTTATCAATTAGTGGAAAAAAGAAATCCAATTTGGGAGGGAGAGATAGAAAGAGAGACAGTGCCTATCACCTGGCCCCAAAAACCTATTTAATGAACAGTGTGTCATGCTCACAGTGTCTCTTTGAGTTGATTGGTTAACGAAATGAAGAAAGGAAGAAAACAATGGGTTCCATCTAGTGGCCAATATTGTTATTACTGTTCACAGTATTTTATCACCACCTTTTGTCACCAGAATTTGTTTTTTTTAAATTAAATCTTTATTGTTCAGATTATTACAGTTGTTCCACTTTTTCCCCCCATAGCTCCCCTCCACCCGGTTCCCACCCCACCCTCTGCC